CTTCTCATGCATGCCGCGGCTTCAAGGAGGCTTCTATAGTGTTCTCCTGTACACGCTACCAAATGCATTCTCGTAATCAGTGAAGCAGATGTATAGTGGTGAGTTCCATTCAAATGATTGTTCCACAATGATCTGTAATGTTGCAATTTGGTCGGTACACGATCGATCCTTACGAAATCCAACCAGTTGATCTCGAAGTTGGACGTCTACGAAGTCCATAATTCTGTTTACCAATACTCTGTTGAAGACTTTGTCTGGTATTGAGATAAAAGTGATACTTCTATAATTATCACTCTTACTAAAATCTACTTTATTTCATTTCTCGACGAGATGTCCTTCTTTCCAGTCTGTTTATACTTGTTATTCGTTCCAAATCTTGCTGAAGGCAGCGTGCAGTATCTTTGTAGTTACTATTTTACGTGCTTCAGCTGAAATAATGTCACGACCTGCTGCCTTGCCATTATTGATTTCTGTGATGACCATAATGATCACTCCAATTGTTGAAGTGTCAACATCGATTGAGATGTCTGTAGATGTTGCTACGATGTTGAATGCCTTAATTTGGATTTTACGTTTCCAAATATGGGCTGATCAGTTGACCTTTAGATTTCATTTCCCACCAGGAAGTCCTTGACTGTGATTGGCTGCTGTGTATTTTAGTGTGCTATTTTTGTGACTGTCTCAAGGACGTTTCTATGATGTATAAATAAACGAGAGTTGTGTACTTGATTGTATTGTGATTGCTGGATGTTTGTAGAATATGTTTTCTACGCTATATCAAGACTTTTGGTTAGCCAACAGATCAGGGTAGCCTACCTGGACGCTGGTAATTGTCTCGTTCTCGTTTATCGATCAAGGTGCACCCATAATAGTTTCAAGCATACTCAGTGACAAACCTAACAAGAAACTATATACTTTAATTCCTCCTTGATAAAGTTCCCACTTACTTACTTATGAGAACAAATTAATTCTCAGTAATGTAACTCAAACTGAAACAAAACTACATTTCTCCAATCAAATGAATTTTTATTGGTTGAATTCCAAACCGTTGGACAATATCATGTGACAAATACACAAAAAATACACCAATCAGAATCACATTTTAACAGAAGTAACCTTGAATCGACTCTAAATCCTTATTGGTCCATACAGCTTGATAGCTTGTTTCCTATCTACCCCGACGTATGAGTTCAGAAGTCTGTATGCAACCTCGAGAAAAAAAATTTTTTATTTCAAGCTGACACTTTTTTGATACACAAATCAGATTCAGAAAATAAATTAAGGGGAATTTTTGAAAAAAAAATAAGGATCGGGGGGGGGGACATTAAATCATACAAAATTATTGATTGATTGGATCAATTAAGAGAGCTTATCACACAGATGAAAAAAATAACTATACAATGATCTGGTCATACAATCAAGATATATAAAAATAATTATTTATTAAGATTATATAATCATTAAGTTAGTTTTTTAAGAAATACCCTTTGTCTAATCTTCATCCAAAGAACCTGATTCTTTGATAAACTTAATAACTACAGTGAGAAGAATCGACAGGAAAGAAATAATTAGATTTATGATGAATAGGGTGTCTCATGAAAAAAAGGAATAGAAATTTTATGATGACATGCTGAAAAACATTTACGGAAGATCTTAAATATAATGTTGTTCACAACAAAAAATAACCTGAATCTCTTCATTACACAAAACAAAGCAACACAGCTTGTACCAGAACGACCAAAATTACATTCGAATAAGGTGGCGATTTATCACGGAAAACTTGTTGGATCGAAAAGAAAACAAAAAAACAAAATAGGAAGACATAAGCTCAATTTTCTTTGTATAGCAACAAAAAAATAGCGTCCACGTTGAACAAAAGTTAACATGATAAGACGGTACGATGGGTTATTAAACTCAATCCTGGCAGACTAAAAGGACTGGACTCAGACAGCAATAGCGCATCCACACAACCAATCATCCATAAGCACACCCATCAAGTGAAATTTGACACTCAGGACCTTCGATGAGGAAGCTTCTTAGCGTCGGCGTTTTATCTATGCTCTCCTGGTTCCAAAGGAGTATTACATGTGGCTCTATACTGTCATCGTACCGCTGTAACGTGGTCGGGGGGTGGGGATGGTAAGCCACCCCGCCATGTGG